CCGTGCCCAACCTTCCTCAGGCTTCTGTCACCTTCCCCTGGCCCTGTCTTGGGCACAAAGGGGCCAACCTCTCACTTTGGGACACTGGTTGCGACCTATCCAGCCCTCCCACCAGTCTTGTTTGTTTTGGCAGCCATATCACATGTTGGCTTTCCTGACCTCCACCGCCAAGCCCAGCAGATCCTCCTGGGTATTTGCTGCACACTCCCCTTTCCCCAGGAGTGAGGTTGTTTATTTGTACCTAATTATAGATTCTCACATTTATCTTGTCAACTGTAGGTCATTTTCCCAGCCCCATCAGTCCCCTAAGACTCCCCTGATTTCTCCTCTGATTGACCAGGCTGTGGTGTCTATAGTGGGAGCAGTGGTGTCCCCAAGGGCCACCGAGGCCTTTCTAGAGCCACTCACCTGGCCCATAAGGACGAGGTTGATGTGGGAAGCTTCCACGGTGGCCCAGAGCCCTGTTCTCTGGGTTGTTGACACCCTGCCCCGTCTATGAGTGCTTTTGGGGAAGGGGGCAAAGAGAGAGTGACTGCCAGCCCCAATGCTCACCTCTCTCTGCCAAGTGCTCCCAAGGCAGCCTCCTGGCTCTGCCACCTGTACAGGACTCCACCAGGCCCACTGGTCCCAGAACCAAGCACACCATCTTCTCCCATTGCAGATGGTGGCCCTGCCTGTGCCCCAGCTTAAACACCTCTTCTTGGTTCTCTAATTTCCAGGGGACTAGCTCTGGTAAGATTGCCCCCAAGTGCTGGCCCCTGGAGCCTGGGATAATCAGGGTCTGCTTCCTGGAGGAGAAATGGGACTCTGCTCTGCCTGAAGTAGGGGAGTGTGCTCCCCACCCAAATGGCCACTCAGTTTGCCTGAGCATCTGAGTGTGGGCCCTGGTGGTGCTACACTGTTATGGGGCAGGCCAGAGGACACAGGCCTTCAAGAGGTGCCAGTTCTTTGTTTTTGCCAACTAGGCTTGCCTGCCCTGCCAGCCAAGTGGCGTGTTTAGGGAGGCCATTTCCTGGCCAGCATTGCCACCAACTTCTGTGGAAATGCTAGGGGTCGTGTCCTCAAGGGCCCTTTATTTTCCCAAGACAATAGATCGCTTGTGCCTTTGATAGAGCCAACGCAGCCACTGCCTGCTGGCCACCTCTCTGCAGCAGGCACCTGTGTCAGGGAGTGCCTGGGCATCCTGGCCTTTCCAACATTTATATGGGCAATGACTGGTGGCCCTCGTCCTATTCTTGCAGCCACTTTATAATTTGTTCACTCTGTCCTATGTGTGGGGTTCTGTGCCAGGGCCTGGG